GAATGAATCATGTTCTCGTATCGTAGAGCAGTGCTAGCCTGTATCATGTACTCAAAGACGGGTGGAGGCGATCAGTTCGGCGCATTTCTCCGCTACAAGAACAGCCGGCGCCATAGTGTGCGTTGCGGGGACATCAGGAAAGATTGAGCAATCAGCGATGCGCAAGCCTTCGATGCCATGCACGCGTAACTGTGCGTCCACGACGGGAAGCCCGGCTTGGTCGCCAGCGGGGCCCATGCGACATGTGCTGGTATAATGATAGGATGTGCGTAGATGTTCGCGCACGAAGACATCCAAGTCCGCGTCGGTCTCGCTCACGGGCACTGCTAGATCCTTCATCGCGTACCCGAGCCGACGCAGCTCTTCGCCAAGGCGCAGGCAAAGCTTGATCGCCTTCCTCAAGACCTCGTAGTCGGATGGATCAGTCAAATAGCCGAAGTCGACCTCCGGACGCGCGCGGGGATTCCGGTTCGTAAGGCGTACATGCCCAGTGGATTTGGGTTGCAGAAGGGCAGCCATCAGGGATAGGACACCTTTTCCTTCGATCTCCACATCGTTACAGTTGTAGGCAACGGGCATGATCTTCCGTATGGGTATGAGTTGCCATTCATATAGAGAACAGCATCTAACGAACCTCTATGTCTGGCACGTTTTCTGGCGCGGTCGCGTCCAGCGCCGGCCCACTGTCGGTCGAGACCTCTGATCTGTCGTTGAGCAGCTTGCTGGGCACGAAGAGAGAGGTTTGGAGGAAGGACTGAGAGAATGCTCCGCGTCCAGTGAGGATGTATCGGAGGAGTTCTTTCATGGCGAACATCGGACTAGCGATCAAGCGTTGTATCGAATCCTCGACTGGGACCTCCCACATGACTGGAAGACCCATATGATCTTGCTGGTGGGATCATGAGAAGAAGTACTCTTTCACAGTTAGAAACACGAACCAGATGGGCGCCAACGCCAGGCAGGTCCTTCACGACAGGGATGCCTTTCTCGACAAGATGATGCTGTGGACCGATCCCGCTGCGGACGACCCATCGGTGAGCAAAGCATCATAACATCATGGGCGCATCGTTCACCTGAGCATAAGAAGCTGTGGATTCGAAAGCGCTCCGCCGCAAAGGATGACTTCTCGTGACGCTCGAGCGAGTACTTTGCAGTCAGCGTAGCGTGGGTCAACAGCTTCGAAGTATACCCCCGTGGCCCGCAAAGCGCCATCACTCGTCGAGATCTCCAGTCGAGTGACCAGTGCATTGGTACAGACCTTGAGCCGGTCTCTGCGCTCATAAGCTAAGTGTGGAGGCAGGAAAGCGCGAAATGTCGATGACCGGTACGAGTTTTCGTCTACGCAGATGTCAAGCGTCGCGTAGCCTGCTGCTGGAGCATGTGGAGAGTTGAGATCAGGGACGGCAGGGAATCCGATGTTCTGTGTCGCTTGAGCCAGCCTACGGTATGTCAGCCTCTAAAATGACCGATGGAGTACAGTACATACAGTTGAACTGGTCTATGCGGTATGTCGAGATGCGTCTGATTCTGCCATGGACCTGGAATGCGAGATGAGTGTTACTGTCATGACCCTACGGTGCGCTAGCCTGCGCACCTTGTTTGCCACGGAAGTCCGAGGGTGGTTGGCTCAATGTCCTCTCGGACTTGCGGAAGAGGTGCTCGATGTCTTTGTAGCTCCAACCTGGGTTGCCCTGCTGTGCCCAGCGCTCATAATCTCCGGGCGCACCTACATCAGCCGGATCAGAGCACGCACTACATCCCCCATCAAAGCCCGCGCACCTCGGGTGTAAAGCATCCCATTGACCAGTGAGGTGCCACCAAGCCCTTCGCCATGCACGACTTCCAAGCATCGGTCATTGGCTTCAACGAGTGGCTGTGAGAACCAACGTCGCGCAGGTCCGCCGGCGCGGAAGGTGTCGGCAGACATCATGGGCACCTTCGAGGTCCAGGTGTCTTCGGCGGCACCACGTTCGATGAGTAGAATCTTTAGGTTGCGGTCTTCACTGAGCCGAGATGCCAGAACGCATCCTGCGGTACCACCTATCCCGCAAGAACATGTGAATCGCTGCCGAAAGGATGCATTGGTAGACAGACGGTACTTACCTCCAACAATGATGTAGTCGTAGGTCTTGACATTCGAGGCGTCGCTCGCGGTATCCGTAGGAGTCCCGACATCTTTAGGAGAAAGCACGGGGAAGGGTGTCGATGAGAGCGGCCACATCGTGGAGGACAGTTGTTGAACGTACAAACGCACGAAGCTGGATACTTATATTACCGTCATCCAGCGCAGCGTGCACGATGGTACCTGATATCGCAGTGCACTTGCTTCGCCAGCGATTGATGGGTGTGAGGTTGAATTGGCGATAGTACAGCCGAAATCACCGAGCACATTATTTCCGCGCCCAACAAATAGGGGTTTCGCTGATCACTGAACCAAATATGACGACATTATCCTGATACTAATGATTACAAGTGAGATACAGACAATATATGGTCAAGATAGATATCATGCGCAGAAACTCTCCGTCGATACAATACTCCAACATGATGTCGATCAACGAAGGCAGCTCACGCAGCCGCCAGTTCTTCGAGCAATTCATTATTGCTGAGAAGGGGAATGTCCTGCATTTCAAAGTCAGCCAATTTATGGCGAGACCCTAGCACAAACGTACCGAGAAGTCATCTAAACCGGAAGAAGTAGACACCTCCGCAGACTTGGTGACAAGCGAAGCTCCATCCGTATCTTCCTTCACCGTCGTATGCAGTTCGACCGGGCGACCCTTGCTCCGCGTCTCAGCGTCAATAAGCGCCTCGATCGCCTCCCACTTCGCGACCCAGTCTGGTTCGGCGCTGTCGAGTGGGAGCAGGCACCCTTGATTCGCCAGACTATCAGCGGTGTTATTCCCGACCGAACTTGCATGACCCTTGACGTGTTCGATCTTGAATTCCCAACCTCGTATGCCTCGTAGGCGCCTAAGAGCATCCATGTACTTGATCATTTCGACGTTTGCAATCGTGCCGCCGTCACTCTTCTTCCACCCTCTTGCAGACCAGCCCTTCACATAACCGAAGCCTGCGGGTCGGTGAGCACGCATATGCTATATAAGGCCTCGGGAGCGAGACTCACAATCGATGCTGTATTTTGAATCCGAGTATATCCGTAAGGGCCGCGGGTCATCCTGGGTGAGTTCAAGTGTGCGTATGATTGCCTACGCTACTCAGCATACGAGAGTCGTTAGATATCGTTTGTGTCGTACCAGTAGCTCCCCGATGTTGTTGGTCTGACCTAATCCAGGACATCTTGCAGCGATGTCGCCTCTACAGGCGCATCAGTGAAAGGAGCGGAAGCGACAAGATCTTTCAGACGTACTCGATATTGGAGGGTCGTCCACGAGCCCAGTGTACGCCGTAGCCCGCAATACGAGACGCGGCGTCCTGATTATTCTTGCTCGCGCCATCAGTATACACCACGATAGCATCCGACTGCGCGTCCGCGAGGTCCTGGCCATCATCGACCGTGGACACATCCGGCTTCGCGCTGGACTTTGACGCCATATTGGGAATCGAGTATGGTGCTGCAGAAACACGAGCATTTGCAGTAGCGCGCGTTGTGGAGGGTGGTTTGACGGGAAACACATTTCCAGCGGATTTATGAAATTCATCTAGGTACGCTTGTGCCGCCGCATGGGTGGGCCACTTCCTGAACTGGGCGCCCGGATAACCATGCGTATGCGCTTTGCATTCTTCCCTTCAGGAAAGTGAGCTCATGCGTATAGTACACTGTATGAGATCTCACCATGTATCAAATATCCCTGTCTGCCTTCCTACGCGAATGGCGAAGACACCGTCTGATTTGCCCATGATGTCGACCGCGTGGACTTGTACGATGACCACCTGAGCGACCCGATTCCGAGCAGGTAGTAAGAAGGCAGATGATACGGTCCTATTATGCGATATTGCAATCAGCCCAAGGCTTTTGGCCCGTAGACGGTTGGAGAGAAGGGACAGTATGGTGGTCGAAGTCAAGAGCAAGACGCGACGCGACGCGTCTTGTCGCGTTGGGTGACGCGTGACGTGCGCTCAGAGCCGTTCTCCAGATCTCCCCGGCGTAAGTACCCCTACCAGCTGCTCAAAACGTCAAGCCGTATGTGTCTATACTGACTGTACTCCCTAAACACAATGCGGGCGTGATATTCCTGCAAAAACAACGCGTTCAGCGCTCACTGCCAGAACCGTGGATTGAACACGGGACCTCCAGAAAGCCAACGTCTTCAGTCTGTTGCTCTCCCAGCTGAGCTATTCCGGCATTGACAAGCGGTAGTAAGCTAAATATATTGACTCAACTAGGGAAAGGCGCTCACGATAGCGGTTGTCGCGAGAGTCTTGTCTTCGTTTTGCATCGCACCCGCCAACTCGGCGTTGGTACACCGGCGCTACTTGTTCACTTGCGATCTCTATTGTTACCCATACGTTGCTCCTGAATGCCATGGATACAGCCTGTCAAATGTTGTGCATGCCTATCACGACGGCGCCCCCAGCACGTTCTGTATAGCGTAGCCTAACACCATGCTATGTCCGGGCACTACATGCACCGCCGACAATTCACTATGCGGCGATTGTCGGTCCGACTACCTGTCAAATCGGGCTAATATATCACAGACAACGGACCTCATCCTCCGCGTCAATGTGCCCTTGCCGCATCGTCGGGCTCAAAGCGCCGCGATCCGCTCGTAATTGGCCGTCCCGTTGACGGGGTGGGAGGATGCACTCAATGCGCTAGCCTGCCTCGCGCGGAACGTCCTAGCCGGGCTGTCCTATCAAGCACATCAAGCGCCGACGCGGTAAATTGCCGCCAGATAGCTTGGCACTACATAAGGTCCTGGGCGCCCGGGGCCGTTCATATAGAGATAGGACTACTTTCCGAATATCGAGCTCTGCTTTTTGCCCCGTTTTGAGCCCTCACGGTCCCTTTCTCTTCGTCCTTGTTTGCCATGTCACGCTCCGTCTCTGCCGTTTCTTTGTCCGTGCTCGCTTTGGCTAGCTATGGAGCAGCCTTGTCCACGTTCCCCAAGACGCCACTGGCATCGATGCACTTTCCGCGCCCTTCCGACCTAGTAAGCCATCCCGCACGTTTTGTACGATCCCTACTGAACCCCTCTTCAGCCTTACCAGGTCGACCAAGGCAATCTTGAGCGTGGAGATCAGTCCGGTTACAACCAATGCAACTCGACGACCGAAGGTCCAGAGAGTCTCTGCCAGACGTCCTACGTTAATGACATAAGCGGTACGTGCCTACTCTCCAGAACGAGGCGTGTCTGAACAAAAATCAGACTTCTGCTTGTGGGGACCGGCAAAGCCGAACTCGGTGATCGGCGACGCAGAGGGCGAGGTTGTGGCGTGGTGTTCGAAGGCCGGACATGGAACACGCGTGATGCCGCCGGGAACACTGCAAAGCGTTCAGCTACTCAAGGCCCCGGACTACGTTATGCTCACCGGCCTAATCAACCAAACGCTCGTCGACATGAAAAGTGACGATGATGGAGGCGAGCTCGACCCGCACGGTCAGGACTTGGTAAGTCTGCGCGGAACTAGCTTTAGGGAGGTAACGCTGATTATCTTCCTCAGCGCGGAAACCCAATCGGAGGTATCATGTACTCGACACAGTTCTCCGGTGGAAGTGGTCCCGAGCAAGTCATCGAATGGACCAAGTACGCCACAGTGATGCATTCTGTTGGGAACTATCTTAACCTCTGGATTAGCTTCATGGGCACTATGCAGTTCTGTATCAAGATTTGCGACCCTAACGGTCCCGCCAACAACGCCGCCGGGTTCTGTCAACACACGCTTGATCGTATGTAATGATCTCTACACTTACGAGACTCGTTACTGATGTACTGCAGGTATCGGTACGCGATACTGGTCAACGTCCAGCGCGGTCTAGAAAACTAACAATCATAACCAGGCTGCTCGTACAACATGCCCAGCAAGTACACTGTCAATGGCGACGCGACGATTGGCGAGTTCGAGACGTGCGAAAGCGATAACATGCGTGAGTAATCTCAGAGCTCCATGGCGCCCTGTGAATCAAGGCATCTTATCATATGGTCATAGACATCCCCGGAGAGTACGTCGTGAACGGACAGACTCTAAGCTACAAGCAGCCGGCGGAGGGTGTCCCCATCACTGTCCCCTACCAGCCATTTGTCCCCGCCAGCTCCAAATGCACGACAACGGCCAGCACGGCTTTGTACACGGATGCCGCTGTCGCGAGCAGCACCACTACGACAGCGTCTGCCAGCGGTAGCGCAACTGGCACACCTAGTCGCACCGGCTCAGGCTCCAACTCCCCCACGCCGTCCGCAACGAACTCTGCGGCTTCTAGCTCGCAGTCTCAGTCGGGCGCCGCTACGTCCACCGCCCGTTATTCCTTCGCCGCAACCATGTTCGGTGTCGCGCTCTCCCTCCTATTCGCTTGATAGCCCCCCTTTTCTTGGACTCTGGGATACCTGTTTGTGTTGTACCACGCTCGTTGACTTGCATTTGGGCTTGTGAAAGAGACAATATTCTCCATATCCTTCTTCTCCTCGGACATCCCGCTACTATATCTGTTACCCCTTCACGTTGGTGTGTACTATGCACCTGCACTATACCATATACATTAGTATCGCTGTTGAGCTTCTCTATATACATCCAATACCGAGTAATACCGTATCAGTCCAGTGATCAGAATCATCGGATGCTTAAGAGGACACAATTCCGTTGGCGTCATCCCGTTGATTGACGCGTGTCGGCCCGAACTACGGTCGAGGAGCAGCTTGGAGAAGAACCATTCCTATCGTCACTGTGGCAGTGTGCGACGGCGTACGATTCCCATAATCTCATTCGATCATACACGCAGGAGAACATGAGCTGCTGTATGACTTATACTCTTGCGGCTTTGGCAGTCCGACCTCGTCCGGGACGTTCGGGGGGATGATCTGGACATCCGTCGACCGAACCCTCTTCTCGAGGGCGCGTTTGACTTACCACATCATCAACGCTCGCAGGCCGCTCGTTTCCAGGGCATCGGGCTCTCCCGCCTTTGACACCGCTTCTGGATTCTGAGGGTGTTGGAGCCCTGCTCCACCGAACATGGCCGCCTCTGTATATCTTCGTGCGGGGTGCTCTAACGCGAGGGTTTCTCAACTGTCGTCCGGTCGCCCATTCCTCGACCGCATCTGTTTACTGTATCTGCTTCGTGCACCGAGTTCGCTGCACTGAAGTTGTCTGCTTGAAGTAATCTCTCACCCTTGTCTTTGTCCGTCGCTTCGCGATGGCCCGCCACACTCTTTCCGCTTTCCTTGTCTCCGCCGCGGCCGCGACCCGCGTACTCGCGCAGGATGCCCAGTCAACTTTCCCTGCCACACCACTAGTGTCTCTTCACTTTCCAACGCCTTCGGATGCGCCTGAACAGGCCGACCCCGGCAACCTCGCTCGCGGGAACCAAGCCGGCTACAACCGCTGTAACTCAACTACCGAAGGGTCCGACTCCATGTGCCAAACTGGCTTCGTGAACAGCCTTTCAGGTATGCGGTCCTCCTCGATCCATAATCACCACCTTTGCTCAATTTTCGTCAGACTTCTGTGTATGGGGTCCCTCAACGCCCAACTCAACTATTGCCGACACCGAGGGCGAGGAGGTCGCCTGGTGCACCCTTCCCGGACATGGCACGCGCATCATGCCGGAGGGCACGATCACGGGCGCTCAGTTGGTCAAGACGTCAAACTACGTTATGATCACCGGTCTCATCCAGCAGACTAACATCAACATCGCTGATGGTGATTTCGGTGGCGAGTTGGACCCCGGAGGTCAGGACCTCGTACGTCGACGATGGCTTATCCCATGTAAATCCCATTCTGACACAGTTTGTAGCGCGGCAACCCCATTGGTGGCCTCATGTACTCGACCGCGTTCAACAGCTCGGCCTACCAAGTAAACAAATGGGTCAAGTGAGCGCACCACTTACTCCACTTCTACAACAGGAGACTGACGCCTACCGCCAGCTTCATGGGCTCCAACTCCTTCTGCATTCGCATCTGTAACCCCTCTGGCTCGAACCCAGAGGGCTTCTGCCAACATACGCTTGACCGTATCGGCAGCGCCTACAACTGCCCGAGCAAATACACCGTCGGCAGCGGCATGCAGGCCGGCGAGTTCGAGATTTGCGACAGCGAAGACATGGGTGCGTTTTCTCCGTTCGTGGTCATGTAGTCAAGACGCTTACTCGACATCTAGACATTCCCGGTGTATACACCCAAGATGGCCAGACGCTCTCGTACTCACAACCGCCGGAGAGCTTGGGCGAGATCACCTCAATCCCTTACAGCCCGCGCGTACCTGCCAGCTCGAACTGCGCAACGACGTCCAGCGCCGCCCTCTTCGCTTCCGCGACAGCGAGTGCAAGCGCTAGCGCGTCTGGATCGGGCGGCGCCACCGCGAGTCGCTCGAGCGGCGCAGCAACTGCCAGCCAGACGGGCAGCGGTGCCGCGCATGTTGGCGCGAGCGTGCTCACTGCCGCGCTTGGAGTCGGGTTGTCTGTCGCGCTCATGGCATGAACAATCAATATAGCTAGCATGGACTATCGTCATACCTCGGACATACATACCCATTCGGACATCTATACAAATAGTCACTTTGCACCCTCTAGGATTGAGTTTTTGGCGCTTGCTGAAGTGCCGAGCGGTCAGACTCGTACCCAATCTGTTCCCTTGCAGGTCGCGTTTGTCGCGTGCAGACTGACAGTCTTTTGCTTCTGCTGTCACTGGGCGGCCACGCGAGCGAACTGGGAACGAGCATACTAAGCAACATCATACACAACCGTGTCACTGAACACGCAGCCATGTATAAAATGTTTCTGAACATAAGCATTATAGCATAGTATAGAGTACATGAATGGGGGCGAGTGGAACGGCCGCATACGACAGATATAACTACGGCGAGAGAATCGACAAGGGGAGTACATCCAAGTCTATTTGAAGATTATACCACTTCATGCGATTGACAATGGTGGATGGCACACCTGTGAGATCACAGTCCAAACCAAGCAACGATACGAGTACGAAGAAGTACTCGACCGTTGTGTCGCGCGCCATAAAAGCATCTAGACGAAGTATCTCCTCGTCCCGCAACGATAGAACGCCATGGGGGTTCATCTGCATGAAGACGGCGAATCTTCGCTCCGCCTTCAGCCGCGTCTTTTTCGGAGGCGGTCCCGTACTTGGTACAGTGGCGCGTACAGCTTTGTCTCTTGTTCGCGATGAGCGAGTGGGCCTTCGTGTTTGATCAATAGCGGCAGTGGAAGCGGTTCCCGAATCCTTGAGAGATGCACGCGTGATGGGACGATGTTCAATACCAGGGCTCTGTGCTTTTGTTCTCTTCCGTGGGTATGGAACGACGTAAGTTGCGGCATGGAACGCGAGGTCCGATACAACACGGCGGATGTTGTAAGTCCCGGGTTCGAGGGAAATAGAAAGTTCGTCATCAATAATGTGTAAGACTTGGGACCTGGAGAAGTGCTCAAGAGCAAGAGCCCCCTTCGTCCGTTTCGCATGCGGGGGGAACACTTGCTCCCAGACATAGGGGCGGGAAGACTCTGTCCCACCTCCCAGGCTGCCACTTGACAGCAATGCGTGGGAGAGGTGCTCGAATAGCCATAAGCGAGACCCGAGAAGTCCATCTGGGGGCTTGCGAATGACCCTCATATCTCGAAAGGAGTATAAATCTAAGAAACTGAATCGTTCGCGCATTTTCCCGACGACATATCGGGAAGCCAGGGTTGGACGTAGGTATTCAACACCGTCCTTTTCGTCTCTGCGTAGCAGGAATATATCACAGTCGTTTTCAGGACATAAGAGACCGGAATGATTGAGGCCAGCGACGGAGGCCCGCTGAGCCAAGTGTTCCACATCATCCGAAGAAAGAGCACTCAGACGCTCGTCCAAGGCTGTATAGAGGGTTTCTCTGTCGGTCCCAACCGTGAAGCAAGCACGAGAGAACGATCCAAAATCATGGATTGACTGCAGCAAACCGACGAAACCTTCTTTCCGGTTGGGATACCCAGTTTGAATATATGCACTGGGTACTTTAGTTAGCATAGGGAAGATATGTGTAAAGAGATAGACTTCACCCAGCGACAATATCCGGCGGCGTCAAAGCGTCCAGCATGAGTATGGTGGGAGAAAGATTCCTCTCCCACGCATGGAAATATCTCGGATCGGGTCTACAGAGCTGAACCAGCGAATAGTAGCCCGTAGATATTTCGTACGGCGGCTGTCGCGGGTGAGGGTTCGTGTCATATATGACTTGTGTGAACTCGGGCAGAATGATCTCCCGTATACTTGAGGGCATGCTGTCGCTTCGTAGTTTGAGGGAGCCGTGGCATCGAAACACGCCTATAGATCCAAAGAGAAGGTAGGCATCCGAGGAGAGAGCGAAGATGATGGTGCGGCACTGAGACAATTGCGCCGCAAGCAAGTACCAAGCAAGATAGGTTTTTCCTACGCATAATGAGCACAGGCAAAGGTTCGACTACTGCCAACTCACCGACGCCACGCTGACCCTCAATAAGAATCCCACTGTCATACGACTGTGTAAAATCATTCAGCACCCCATCAAATCGTTCACATTGACGAGTAATCATGATGCGCCCTTGAGTCTGCTTCAGCTCGTCCACCCAGGGCGTCTTGAGATAGCGACAGTCTGGTAAGGGTATGCCTTCTACGTCGTCCTCTTCACCGAGAACGGCGCGAGCTAAGCGCCAAGCCTCCGCATCATCTGAGTCTGGTTCAGGTCTGGACTTGATGGCTATAGTCGTGATGAGCAAGCGGAGAAGTTTCTTGGCTTAACCAGACGAACGTACGAGCTACCCATGACTCCCAAGGTTGCCGAATCGCGGGTTTGAGAGGTCGGCCCCAGAACTGTTTCCACGCTAGATGATGGGAGCCAGATGTTTCCTGGATCCAACCTGAGTCCAGGAGGGTTTGCACGACGGAGTCGTCCGCCATGATGAGTGAGACCAAGTCGGCAGCATCATTGTCGCAGGCTTGCAGCATAGGCGCTCGTGTCAATTTCGGATCACCCGGACCGGGTCAAATGCATCATACGCGACTGGGACGCGGCGCGGAAGAGTGTGGTCGATGGTCGACGTCGATGATCACTAGTTTGTACTGGAAAGCAGGGCATGAACAAGTCACGAGAGCTGGCCAGTTTCTTCACCGGGAGCATTAATTTACATCGTTCAATCATTTTCCCGAGTATACTTGTACATATGTTATAGCCAGCCACGCCAGCGTCCGTAAAGTATTCAAAAAAACCTTCGTCACAACTCGTGTAGATCATCCCGTTTCTTTGCAGTGTCCATTCCACTTCTCGAACGCTCACTGAACAGCGCTCCCATCCTTCGCGCCTTTCCTCCACCCAATGCCCATACCCACTCTCACGAGCGTCTCAAGCGAAGCCCGACTGTTGATCGTGATGTCCTCGTCCCACTCGACCATACCCGGCTCGAACAGCATAACAACGGTCGACCCGCCGAAAGCGAAGAATCCGTACTCATCGCCGCGCTTGATCTGCTGGCCTTCTTCGACGGTCGTCTTAATCGACCCGACCATCATCGCGCCAATGCAGACGGTCATGACGCGCCCGAAGTGCGTGCTATCGATGGGGACGATCTTGCGCGCATTTTCGCCGTAGACGTCGAGCGTCGTGCGGATGGCTTGGGGCTGTACAGGGAGAATATATTGGTCAGCTTTACTTGTTCATACAGCGAGAGGGAAGTGAACGTACATTGACGGTGTAGTACTCGCCCGAGATGTATGTCATAGGCCCAATTGTACCGTCCACAGGCGAGTGGAAGCGATGGTAGTCCTGCGGCGCAAGGCGGAAGATGACAAGCGCTCCGCCGTTGTACCGCTCAGCCTGATCCTTGTACTTATCGCCAAGCAACCTCGCCACGCTGAACTCCCTCCCCTTGATCCACACCTTCGTTGCCTCGTTGACCGTCTCAAACGCCATCAACCTACAATCCGCCGCGCTGACCAGCCGGTTCGGGTTCTCCGGTTCCTCGACCGGTCGTGCGTCAGGCTTGAGCTTGCGGTAGAAGAACTCGTTGAAGGTCTTGTACTCCTCCAGTGGCTGCGCGATCTCGGTGATGTTGAGATTGTGGAACTGGATGAACGGCTTGATGTCCACGACGCTCTCGGGCGAGTCGTACTTGACACCCTGCTTGATGCTCATGCTCTTGAGCAACTTGCGCGCGCGCATGCCCTCCATCCGACCCCTCGCACCCTTGTATAGCAGTCGGATGCCCAACCGCACGTATACCTGCGTCTTCTCCTCTTCCAACTGGCCCGTCATGCGGTTCTGCACGATGATGTTCGCCGAGTTCGCGCCGAGCTTGTAGTTTCCACTCAAGCCCTTGCTGAACATTTTCGTGTACCACTTCCTTTGTGCTTGGCTCGCAGTAACGAAGTTCCCGACCAGCATCCTGTCGACGCGCGACCAGTCGCCTGAGGCGCAGACAGCGAGATGCGTGACGATGTCGCGCTCGGCTTTGGAGTTCAGACGCGGGCGGTGGCAGAGCGGGCAGTTCTTGACGTTGATCACACGCTCAACCATCTCCTCCGATCCGCTACCCGGCGATGACGAACTGCTGTAGTCCTCCGCATCGCTCGACGACGTAGACGGCACGGTATTTGGCGCAGGACGGCGCGCAGGATCGGGCGTCGGAGGCGTGAGCAGCGGAGAGGAGCCGCTTGCCGGCGCGAGGGTCGTAGGTACGGACGGAGAGCCCATAGGTGCGGGCGGCGTCGCATTCGCGTGACCGTGCAGATGCAGATGTAACATCTTCTGCCCGGCCGTCTGCTCGTAATCCGGCACTCCGCCCTCCTTGTCGCTCGGCTTCACGTCCGCGATGGCGGTTTGCATGCCCTCCGTGGGTTGCGTGCGTGGGGGATTGGCCATCTCATTGCCGGTCGCCTGCATTTCCGGATCGTCGTGAGGTCGGTTATGCTCGGGGCCCGCGAAGCTCAAACCCTCGAGTGCCTCCATGGCGGGTTCCTTGTGGGCTGAAGGATCGGGGGTGGCCATGGCGCTCGTGCCAATGTCCATGCCGCGGTTGTAGTTCTCTTGAGGGTTGATGCGCTTCTTCTCGCTCAAGGGACGGCAGATCTCTTGCTCGAGCGCCATGACGACTTCGGCTGTAGTGAGCTCGTCCTCGTTTTGCAGCGATTTGCCGTAGCGCGTCCAAAATGAGGCTATCGTCTCTTGCGAGAGCGTCGAACCGAGAGAGTCGAGCATGGAGGTGAGCTCGAGGTGGGAGAGCGAGCCAGTATCGTCCGTATCGTACTGCTTGATGAAGACGTACCAGAAGTGCTGGCGGAGGGCATCGTATGGCTGATACTTCGCGCTATGAACGACATCAGCTCAGTCGAGCGCCTAGGAGACATTTGACGTGGTCTCACCGGACAGTGATGGTCGGACTCTTCCCATCAAACACGCTCTCCTTCCCAGCCGTCTGCAACGGCAACGTCATCTCCACAAAGTTCCTGCTTCCATCCTCATCCGCGGGGTACAAGCCCGTCTCAGGATCCTTCTGCGGCACGTTCTCCAGGAGTTTGCTCAGCGTGAAAGACGCGTCGCCGATGTGGTCGTTTGAGGAGATCTTGTCCCAATCACAAACAGTCATAGCGACGCTGAACGAGCGCTCGTATTTCCGAACATGGAACAGCAGCTTCTCATCCCAAACGGGGTTCAGGCTGTGGCGGATGACGCGCGTGCGGAAGACTTTCTTGCCGAAGGAGATCACGACGAAAGGGTCCATATCCCATCCAGTGCGTGTCACTGAGGTTTCATCAACACAGACTCCAACAACACGTACATACAAGAACAGACGTACTGTTCTTCAACTTGGGCAAATTCGCCGCGCTGTCGATCTCGAGCATGACAATGCCGATAATGTCGTTGTGCGAGTTCAGGTCGAACTCGCCGGGCTTCTTATTCGGCCATGGAGCGCGAATGAGTTTCTTCTTGCTGGCGGTGGTGGACGTAGTGGCGGTAGACGATGAACTCACAGTACGATCGCCGAGTGTCGGCTGAGATGTGGAGTCGACCGAGTTAGAGCGTGAAGCTGTGGGTCGGCGCAGGATCTTGGGAAGCTTCTTGAAGCCGGGAGATGGAGGTTTGGACGGGGGACTGGGGCTCGGCGCCATCGGCGCAGGTATGGGCGTCAAGGACTCGGGAGTCGTAGGCGATGGCGCTTCAAGCTTGAGGGTGGGCGTAGGAACATCGAGCTTGCGTGGTGGAACAGACGGAGGTGTAGGTGTGGCAGGCTCGGGATCTTCGTAGTTGTCCCAGTCCTGATCGCCTTCGGCATCGTCCTCTCCCTCGTCTGAGCTGAGACCATCATCCTCATACTCGGGCCCGGCAATGTGCGAACGGATGGTGCCAATTCCCTCAGTCTAAAGGATGAATGGTCGGTCAGAACGTGTCGTTCGCATGGGAGAACACTAGAGGGCAAGAAGATTCGAGCTAGGGCGGTACGGTCACGTGTGCTTTGAGAAGACGAACAAACCGCGCCCGAAATGGGCGCTCAAAACGCCCAGGTCGATCTGTGTCGACCACGCATGCATCGATGATGGGAAGCGCAACCGTGATGCAACCATTGCGCCCGCTATGCCCGAGATGTACAGATGAGACACTCACGGGAGGTGCAGAGACCAACGAAGGGCGGGAACGCTTGACGAGCTCTTCGAATGTTTCGCCGAAGTTGGTGAGGTTGGCGATCCCGGGAGGTTGTACGAAGCCGAGCTTCAAGCGCATGCGACCTGAGGCGGCCGTCTTTACACGTGTAGAGACAAGGTTCACTGTGATCGGCTACGGCGACAAGCGTTCAGATGAGGTGTGATGTGTGGTAATAAGCGACACGAACCTCGTTGTCGGGGTCGTCGAACGAGTATGCGGTGCCTTTGAACCAGTCCTCGAGTGGGAGAGCATGTTCACCGAGATAGTCTTTCCTGAGCATGTCCTTATCCCAGACTAGCAGTTCGAGTGCACCAAGCTTATCCGCGAGCGAGAGATAAATCGGCAAGTCAAGAGTGGCATCCTTAGCAGACCAAGTCGGGTTCAGGGTCTTCTTCACCACACTAGTCTGCTGCTTGTTGCCCAGCAGCGACACGACCACGAACCTATACAACCTTTGGTTAGGGGTGGTACACACGAACAGGTGGTGATGTTCACGTACGGATCGCTGGTGCCGCCTCGGTCCTTGGGAAGCAGATCCTCGCAGCACAATATTTGTACACGAAGAAGCGCGATGGGCGTCTCGCCTGGGATGGGCGAGAACGAGACCTTGCCGCTGTTCCTCCCCGGCGCAACGCGCACGAGCGGTCTTGCAGCCGTCCGGAGCACCCGGCCCGCGATCTTCTGCGTCTTCTTCGCAGCCGCGACCATAGACTAGAGATATATTCCAAAGAGCGTGTACTGTTGATCTGGGAGAGGTGGTGGTGGCAAGAGTCAAGGCTGGGAGCGTGAGGGGTCGAATGGCGCGCGCGCCGGATGACGCTGCCGCAATGAAGCGGTCCGCTTCATCAACTTCCGGGAGCGTAATCCGACCCATGGCCGACCCCTTCCTCGAACGCCCGCCACCACCGACAGCCCAGACATCTACGGATGATCTTGAACATGGCTATACATCCTTTGCTGTTTCATCAGCATCGAGATGCGATGCATTCTCCTCCGAAAGACAAACCATGTGCGATCTGCTAGACAGCAGTGTGCTTCGAGTATTTCTGGGCGTCGTATTCTTGCACTTGGCGATGCTCCATGTGGATAGGTTGAGCCTACTTGTCGGGTGGAGCTCGTGGCCAGCATGACGACTTGACCGACGGCAACATATGGCACGACGCAAGTACCCCAGGTACGTGGCCGTGATCTACACCTGAGCAGTACACTGACGGGAAATACGCAGAAAAAATATCAGTCTGGGATTTGAGGACCCATATGCGTCAATCATCGCGTGTCAGACCGATTTCAAATTCGAACATGCGGCTCGCATCCCGCGGTGATCCCGCGCCGTGGGTTTGCCTCAGACCGCCATCTGCGCGGCCGCCTTCGTGGTGACACATTCGCCAGCATATGACCGCCGTTTTCAGACCCTATTGAGGCGTGTTGAGGGTTCAGCCCTGTCCATAACTTAGCTCTCGCACGCGTACAACCAGTGCTCTTGTGATCTGTACATTGCCAAACTTGACCGGTGACCGCGCAAGGAGCTGTGTATACCCGCTTGTGCTGTAACTTGATTGCAGTGCACTTCGGAGATACGGCTTTCGGTGACATGTACGCAAGCTGTTGAATTCACAATGGACGGCTTACAGATGGCCTTTTTCCGCTCTATCAAGTATTACGCATCACTCACCAACCTGGCTATACTCAGCGCCCTACGCCTTCCTCAAACCATTGTTGCGACGCGCACTCTAATCTCAGATTTGATTCTCTCCCTCGGCGCCCACACACGACACACAATCCTGGTCCTGACGACGGGTCTCCTCTGAGCCGCCCGCAGATACTATGGAAATTGCTGCGCCGCTCCGCGCGGTGCCCTCTTCCCGGCGTACGGGCACGATGCTATTGCGAGGCATATGGCATGTCAGAAGGGACGCTCTCTGCCCCAACGCAATGCAGTCATCCGCTCAATTGAAGCAATTCTGGCGGCTCTGACCTTACCTTCAAGTCAGGCGCTCTGCAAGCATCAATGTCAACCCGATCTTTCCAGCTATTCACATTCATCTCCGGCCTATCGATGCTCGCTCATACCGGCGCGCGGACCGTCGACATTCTCCTCTTTCCTTGACATCGCGCTCGGGTACCCTTGGCTCCGTAACAGCAACAAGCTTCAAGCGCAAGCTCACCGGCTCCACAGCCTACATTCTACACTTGCGGACCATGAGGTTCGCACCGCTACTCAAATTGTGCATTCCAGGGCTGTGCATTGAAGATTTGCAGCACTACAGCCCGCTCTGAAACATACCGCCTTGTCTCTACCCGGTTCTGGATCTGGTACAAGGGGAAGCCCAAATCGGGATGACTCGACGGCAGACAATTAACGACTCTCCCGCGCGTGACGTCGAGCTCGCTTCGAAGTTCTATGCTCTTTGGCTGGTCTTCGCAAGCGGCGGGCTTCTGCTTCGAGAACATGATCTGTCGCGGGGACGACGGCGCACAACAATAAGCGCATCGACCAAGCATCGACCGACACGCCATACTTTTTCCCATATACAGAGTCTTCACAATTAACAGAGTTCCCATCTTGCCTGTCAGATCGTCGAAATCGAACCTTCTCCGCGGAATATGCGCTCTGCCTTGATGCGTGATAGGGCCGTTATTGTCTTTGCCCGGCGCGTCTTACCGCGCCCGCCCTCCAACATCGACTCCCCGACAGGCGATGCCGCTCCGTGTCAATTGTGTCACCGACAAAAGCGTGGTAGTGCGCTCCATCTTCACCTTCTTGTGAGCGCCGCCGCATCTACACATGCTACGCATGCTATATAACATGCTATGACTCTGTCCACTGCTTGGGCCATCCTCATCAGCTTCCGTCTTCCGCTCCGTGCCACACATCCGCAGGCCACTTCGCTTGTACACATCTGCGCCCACATTACTCGAGTACAATGACGACGATGTACGCCACTCCGGCTGCGGCCAACTACTACGTGACTCCCAGCCGGCATCACAAAGAGCGCGGTGCCCGCCTCTGCGACGCATGCGGCGCGATCGAGAACCCCGCCGTGCGCCAATTCCGCCTGTGCGGCGGCTGCGTACGTCTTCTTCATCCTGAACATCATCATCTCATCATCCTGACAACGTCATCTGATAGATGACTACCAACTATTGCTCGCCCGAATGCCAAAAGACGCACTGGCCGGGTCACAAAGCAATCTGCCAACATACCGCCGCAGCTGTCGCCGCCTCGAAACAACAACCGCTCTCCGAGTCGTATCCCGACGAGAACCTCGCGAAGCTCCTCCGCCGCTTCGCATCACTGCACACATCACTTCTCGGATGGGTCGGCTTCCAAGCACTACAGCTCCGCCGCGTACCCGCCAACGCACGGAACAACGCTGTTCTGGTCGAGCTGTATATGCGCGCACCTGGGACGCTCGCTGTCAAGGGTTGCCATATCGTACCGCGGACATATGTCACAGGACGTGACCCGCTCGTTGCTGCGGACATTGCTCGCCGCGAGGACCGCTGCCGTCGCGCCGGTGGACTGGGTTGCGCAGTTGTACTTGTACAATGCGGCGGTCTGAGCCAGGTCATGCCTGTCGAAGTCGACGCGCCGTCGACCATCACTTGGGATGATCGCGCGGACTGGGAGGACGTCTTGAGGCACTTCGTCGATGCCGGCCGCGGGGACTTCAAGCCCATCTCCACCACCTCCCGAGGCGTCTACTACGGATGAGGCGCTCCCGCATTTCCTCCTTCTTCTTCTTGACTTCGCCCTTGCTTCTTGCTTTCTGTAGAGACGCGCCGCGCGCTGTCAGTCTCGCACTCGCATCACTGGACTCCGCTCTGCACATCTCTCACTCTCCCCCGGCTATCTTCGTTTTGCCTCTTTCTTGTGGATTCTGCGCGCTTTTTTGTTCGTTTTGGATTGGTTGCCAAAGAATGCACACTGTAACTTGTATCATACCCATAGCATTGTCTGTACATGTACTCTTAGTTCTTGTTTTGTTGCACAATTAACAGCCGTTAATTCGTTGAACCTGTCATCTTCCGAGACCGACTGATCCACCACAACTTACAAGTGCGCTCTCAAGAATCTAGTCATCGCTACGAGACGCGTATGATAAGAAATAGCCAGCGGTTCGCGCTTAGTGTCCGCTTCATTGATAGCTGATCCCGATGTTGAAAGGCGCAATATCGCCGTGCAGGATACCTGCTTTACTGTACAGGTCCTCGTGCGCTACACTCAAAAATCAGCGTTGAGAAGCGTAAGTGGGTGAGGTTCGAGATGCGTACCTTGTACGGCGTGAGACATGGCCTCGCACAGCTCGCGCGTTGAGCTGAACTTCTGCAACTCCTTCGCCACCGGCATGAAGGCCAGACGGCAGCGCTTGGGCTTTGCGCTTTCCTCAGGTACGATCACCACATTGTTGGAACGATCCTCTAAGGTTCTGTAGTGCCATGATTGCTTCAGGTGAAGGCACTCGATCACTACATCTCCAGAAACGGAGTCGGTGTGAATTGCCTCGATGAAGCGCGGTGCGGCATCTCTGCTAGGCTGGTTCTTGTGGCTACTATCCCCAAGGTCTGAATTGTACGCGGTGCTGAAGGTAGATCTTCCCTCGAGCATTGGCGGAGTACTAGTAGTGGTACCAGACATGACAGAGCTGGGGAGTGGGCTGTTCGGTAGGTGGTGGTTGAAAGCAGACCTATGATCGTCGGTGAACCACAATCCATGCATGCTTTGCCGTCACGAGTCCGTGCGACAAACAATGCGTGCGAGTAATCAAGACGTGGGCGCCTGTGGGCATCTAGTACATAGCACGTATACAGAAAGACTCTCGCGCGGTGCATGCGAACAAGATGATAAGCCCCTCGTGCGTCAGGCCTTGGTGCCACAACTCAGCGCGACGACTACACGTTCAAGCAGCACCTTAAGCAGTACCTTGAGGTCCTCATTCAATACAATTTACCACGCCTTTTCGTTAGGGTTACACTATCGCCAATCGCCTGTCCCATTGTATGAATATCTACGTAGACTTTGGTGGTCCCGCGAGCTTCGTGACCAGTAGGTTGTCCTTCACGATGACGTCTTTCTTTGCAACAACTTCGCCCATGTCCCACGGCGCCTCAATGTACCTGCATGCTCATGAGCTTCCTTGATGCCATACGACTGAAGTATGTCCTCACCTTCCGCTTAGGAACTCAGCGTTTCGCGCCGTAAGCCATAGGAAAGTCGCAGCAGCCAGTTCTGGCGTGTCGACAAAGGTCAACGAGCTGAGGTAACCCATGTCTGTCAGCGCCTCAATCGCCCCGTCAGTAGAGACCACGCCCTGCAATCATCGTGGCACGTCATTGAATATCATTGGCTGAGGCCACTGTGTCAAGACGTACGGGATGGACAGCGTAAACGGCGAGCTCCGGGTAATCTGATGACCCTGGGATCAGACAGGCTACTCTACAGAGAAGGTCGTGAACGCACCTAGAGCAAGAAACTCGACCAAGCGATTCAAGGTGTGCTTGCTGATCTGATAATCAGCAAAGGTGGTGATACGTTGGTGCGCTCCTTGAGAGGTGGTCACGACGATCTGACCCTTCGTCTTGCGAAGCTCGGAAATTGCCGGGCTGCAACTGTTGAGTTCAGCAAACACAGGAAGTCACTGTTACATACTGTATAATGTTAATGGTGCCGCGCACGTTGACCTCTTGAGTGTGCCACCAAGCGGCAGCATCTTTATCGCCAAATCCTGCTCAAGTTCGTTAGAGCGCCTAATCAAGGTATGCGTATTCAGAAAAATGACATACTGCCCACGGGACCGCCCATGATAGTGAACTGGTTCGCCAGCACAATGTCGAGTCTACCGTACGTCTCCACGACAGTTTTTACAGCTCGCTTGCCGACTTCCGGATCGGAGATATCGCCGACCATGATCAAGACTTGGGCATCAGGCACGTCCTTCTCGATGTCGGCTTTGCATTGCTCGAGCTTCTCGAGACGGCGCGCAACGATGAGGACCTTTGCGCCCGCTTTCGCGTAGAAAAGGGAAGCGACGACGCCGATGCCGGTAGACCCACCGGTGATGATGATGACCTTGTCCTTATACGTCTTGGTAGCGAAATGCTGCGCAGGGTCGATGAACGGGTAGACGCTATATCACATACAGTCAACGCCAGAGATTCGGATCACGACGACAGATGCAGCTGGCATACGCACTCGTGTACGTAACGGAAGAGATCACACTCGTCGTTATAGTTCATCGAATTCTTCGGCATGTTGACGGAGATAACGAAGAAGTCAAGAGGTGAGGTTTTATGGATCGCTGAATTGGGTTCTTTGCAGCATAGTACGTGGATCCTTTATATGAGCGATACTCTCCAAAAGGAGTATCTCTCAAGAAGCGGGTGTAGTCAGATGGGCGGAAAGTGCTCTCCGTGAGGAGGTAGTCTCGAAGGATTGTCGTGATAGTGCTTAGGATGTTGACTCCAAGGACCCACACGAGCCTCAGTTCGGTAGCATATCAAGCCCCACAAGTTCCCGGTGAGAGTGGTAGGTGTATGCATAAGCCGTCACACGCACTGCATATAGTCCAGAGACTTGGTCTCGAGTGAGAATGACATCCTACATGGGATGGGGGAACGACTGCGAGCGCATGGGCGGTGTGTTTGTGTCCCAGCCGGATTCTGGAAACGGCCATTTTCGGGCGATATTCCTTCACGGTTGCGGTTTGGACAGCCTGGGTGGGTCGCAGCGAGTCAGAAGCGGACGGTGTGGGTCAAGAAGAACGCCCTACGAGAAATGTTCCAAAGCCGCATATACACCAGCCGACTACGGAGACCCACCAACTCGTATTGACATGCCAGCGTCTCGGAGTGATCTTTTCAGACCACATATATTAGCTTCGAGCGACCCTAGTCGCAGAAGTGCGTGTGTACTCATAAGCTAAGACGTAAGCTCATGGCTCGCAGATTCATGAGGGATATCATTCACCTCGTATACGCGTCCTGCATGCGCCTGCTACAGGTGGCCGCGGCGAGAGATCCGCGTCAGCAGGTACTGTACCGACGAACGATCTGAAAGCCATCTACATCGAAAAGAGCCATGGCCCCTACGTTGCTTCGGAAGTATGCACACGTAGTTTTGTAAAAGAAGATGAGATTGAATTCACATGGTGGTATAAGGCAACGCCCAGGGGACTCGAGCTGACTGACTACTATTCGGCCCGGACCCGGACCGATTATCCCCGCGTCACCCGAAGCGACTAGCGCAGTAGTGCTTGTTTCCGCCAACCACGATCATTTTCCATCATAAGTATGTACACTCATTGTGGTTGTCGTCTCGTTGCGAACCTCAATCCTGGAACAAAGCGTGAACTATCCTTCGGACGTTGCGATCATCTCGACAGGACAGATGGACCACCCAGCTCTACGCTAAGCAAGACAGAGTGCCGAGATGTTGACGTGTGAAGTGAATGAAATGTAGACTCTTGCCCTTTGTAACCGTATAACGTAGACTATCCGTTCATACTCCGATGATCTCTCGCAGAGTCTCCTCGCATGGTCCGAGGAACACAAAGTCGGCCTGATCAGCATGATTGGACATCTCCATATTGAAGACGACGACCTTCCCTCCGTGCGCCTGTACCCGTTCCCCGATTCTTGAAGCTGGCTGTACCTATTCGACAGTCTCAATCAGCCAGCCCTGCAGTTGAAGCAGAGTGCACGCACCACTGCCGAAGTACCAACGACGATGCACAGATCGGCTCTATCCGCCAGCTCCAAGATCTCATGTATCCTCTTCGGCCTCTCCTGGAACAGTATGACATCGGGCCTCACCAGTTGCCCGCACTTGGGGCAGTGCGGCAAGTCTGCCCTTTTAACCACAGGCTCTACGTCACCCGCTTCCACAAGGAGCTCTGTCCCGGCCAAAGCGTCGCATATAGGGGAGCGAGTGATGCGTTCGGTGTAATCGCAGTCGTGCGCGCAACAGACGACGTCGAAGATGTTGCCGTGCATCTCAATCACTTCGCCGTCTGGCGTTCCGTGCGCGTCGGAGGCGGCTTGGGAGAGAGCGGCTGGCGAGAGGCCGTCGATGTTCTGTGTGACGTGGACAAATGTCGAAGACGGTGAGACGGCTTTGCGCAGGCTGGGAATGGCAAGTCGGGCGAGGGTTCGGTGACCTTCGTTAGGCGATGCTTTACGGATCCTATGTGTTGAGACGAGTTTGTCAGCGCTATACAGAAGGTGACAGTGGGGTGTAGTCTGACTCTTCACGACGGTAATGGAAGAACTGCCAGACTCTGGACTGGTTCTCTTGCCAAGCGGCGAGCGTCGCCAAAGATGCGGAATCATACTTTCGCCACATGCCACCCTTACCGCGGAAGGTCGCTATGCCTAGTGCGGAGCAGTTCCAACCTATGAGTTGGGATGGCGCAACCTAGACTGCGTTCGCGTACCAGACGACACCGACAGGCCGGCGCCTGAGAGCACCAAGATGTGCTGAGCGTCGGCCAGCGCCTGCCGGAACTCTTGCACATCGGACGAGGGCATAATGCTAGCGCGAGTCATGAAGTAGACTTTGCACCGTCACACAGAAGTGTGGATAGACACTACAATTGGTGTCGTGGTCGACCATGGCAAACTGTGGCGAGCGCGGTTCGAACACGCGCCTCGCGGTAAGCGCGCGGCTTACAAGCGGCGCAGTGACGTCATCAAGCTGATTTGCATTTACTGGCGGCAGGCGGCACCGCAGAACAATGCGATGCGATGACAGAAACTGCCAATCGGGAAGTCCGGCCATACCTTCCATATGCATGCCTGTCAGCTAGCTGTGGCTGTAACAAGCCGCCGTGCTGTGCTGTACATGGGCCGACACTGCAGTCAGTCGCCCGTCGGGAGCGGTGAGCTCTTGAGGGGCGCGTTGGGGCGTATTGTTTATCTCGACTCTTTGCCTCTCACCACCACCCCCTCACACGACCACTTCACGATCTCGATGACTTCCGATGTATTTGACGCCGATGGGCGCCTAAGCGAGGCGTATGTCCAGGAGATGTTCCATAGCTATCTCAAGAGCTCGCTCGCACAAGCCAAAGCGGAGCACCTTGTGGACGTGCAAATGCTCAGTAGCGCCGAGGGCGATCTGATGATAACTGGTACGTCTATACAGTCTAGACCCTTTCGTGTGCTTCTCCCCTTCGGAGTTGCAATACTTCTATCTCGTCTCTTTGGAAACAGTCGCTGATCATTACTTCGTCAATAGGTCCCGCACTATGCCTCTACTTTGCCGCCTTGAGGTGTACGACCAACCCACCTTCTGTCCCTCTTCCACGGCGGGACAAGCATACACCGCAGAACGACTTATCCGAGGACAACTGCCCTTCCGCCTTCCTGCCCTTCCTCCAGCTCTGGGCCCAATGCGTACCCGATATCCAACGACTGGCGCCAGAGCACCAACACGACCTGGCACGCATCGTATGCAACCTCGAACCCATCGCATCACCCATCAACCCTACAATATTCCGCGTGGCACACGACTTGCGCGCTGTGGCGATAGAGATCAGCTTGAGGCGGACGTTCCAGGACCGGTATGCGCAGGATCTGCAGGCTGCCATCGAGACGGGCGGCGGGCCCCGCGCAAGTGTACGCGCGAGCTTCGTGCCTCCACCCGAATACTCTCCATCGGCTACGAACGCTACTTTCGGTGACAAGGAGCTCCCTCCACCGCCACCTGCGCGACCACAGCCTCCGCCCATCGAAGTGAACGGTCGGCCGATGTCCGGTCCTCCAACGGCTTCACTGCTTACACCTACTGCTCCAGCCATCGAGCTCATTCGTGAAACGCTTTACGCTGCGCTCGCGGATGTACTCGAGACTACACCACGCATGCGCCAGCTTCTGCGGACGGACCCTACACGCTCGTACTTCGGCGCCGTCGCTCTCGCGATCCTCTCTGTGGCCAGCACAGCGATGACACCCGACGGCGGTGTACGTGGCGTCATGGGCACGAACTTACACCTCGAGGACTGCCCTTCAGCCCTCCGTCCCCTCATGCTTGAGCTGGCCGGTATCGGACATGCAGCCACGGAGATGGAAGAGCAGGACACGGAAGAGGCCATGCGTCGGGCGGCCGCAGGCGAGGATATTCCACCTCCGCGGCTTGAGAGGGTTAAGACAATGTTGGAGCATGGAGTTGCATATGAGAGGCAAGGTGCCGTGGGGAGGGAGAGCCCAGAGGGACGGGCGGTCGCGTTCGCGAACAGGATCAACGCGCTCGCGATCAGGATGACGGAGTTGCCGGCGTTCAGGCAGAGACAGAACGAGGTGTTCAATGTGCTGAAGGGTGTCGCAAGTTGACGTACGTAGGATGTGGAGGACAAGTCGACAGCTCACCCGAACCATGGTGGCTTTACGAATTTTCAAATGTAGCATAGGACTTGCTTCTCAGGGGAACGGCAGACATTATCTCACGCCCTCTTTGTCTCTTTTGCGGTGACTGTACAATGTTCATATACTCTATCCCTTTGTTATTGTATTTCAGCGATACCATCTATACGGACCATATACCTGTCTACGCGTATTCATCGACCGTCTACTTCCACCCGTGTTTGCTTGGTATAGTACTAGTGCTATATGTTTGTCCAGTAGTTATCGCTTGGATTGCCGGGGTCTGTCTTCGTGCTTGCAGGACCCTCCAAGTCGATCGGTGGTGAAGTGTCTATTCACCGAGGACCATACGCAGAAATATCACTATTGTATTATAGTATTGTAAACCGATATAAGCGGAGCAATGAGGCTCAGAGTTGATCTACGTAAGGACAAAAGGAATCGAGAAGATAATAGGTGAGGATACACGATACATGCGGTATGGATCATGCTACCCTAACGTTTGGCCAGGCTGCTGAGCCAGTACACCGTCAAGAAGGTCAATAACCATTTGAATCTCATGATAAACCCTCGCTCGCGCGGGCACCAGAGGAACGGCGAGTGCAATAGGGGCAGCTGCGGCTCGCCAAGCGGCCACCGCGCCACGGAAGACGGCGAGCACTGACGGGCGATGACTGAACACGACAATCTGCAACGACCCGTCGATCAACGGCTGAAGGGTGTCGCGAAGGCCTGCTGCACCATCCCAGGTCCACGCCTGTTGGCGGTATACCTCGATCGACTGACGAAAATCAATGGCCGCACTATGCTGTTCGGGGGTGACGAGATCCCAATCTTCTGGAGGTTCGTCATCCTCAGGTTTATGAGGTTCAGTCGGACGATCGTTCCCAGGCTTCAAGGAAATAATCTGCCGTATAGGGATTCTCTTCAGCGTTTCAAGGGCCTGTGCCGACGCCCTACAGAAGAAGAATGAGGACGGAAAGATTGCAGAGCAAGATGCATGAAATCTGTTACGCACCGTCTGGTGATTTGCCCAGCCACTGGACCAGCACCCGTTTTGATTACCTCTGTTACGGTCGCTCGTGTCTCATTCAATGCCACCTTCTCAACTGTCTCTTTTGCCAC